CCTCCTCCTCCTCCTCCTCCTCCTCCTCCTCCCTCCCTCCTCCTCCTCCTCCTCCTCTCCGTAGCCATTTTGGCTCAAGATGCAGGGTTCCTCTGGGAACCAAGCGGATACCGCTAGTCCGCGGCAGGCAAGGCTTCTTGAAGCCTGGCATCGTCTCCTGGCCACCCTCCTCGCGCTCGGGTCGGTGGGTAAACGGAGGCCTTTCCCGTTCCTGTCGGCTCGAACGCATCCAGCTGCAGAGCCATGGCAGGAGCTGGCGCTGGTGCAGCGCGTGACGCAGCTCAGGGGACGAGTTGGCGTTGCAACCGCTGCCACTACAAGAACCTGGGCTGGCGCGCGAAGTGTCGGCAAGCGGGGTGCACGGGCTGCAGGCCTACCGATCGTGTACCTGCTCCTCGTTCTGGCCCTCCTCCAGCGCGTGGGGCGTGGGCGGACGGTGGTGCAGACTCCCGCCCTTGGCATACGATGGCCAGCCCGAAGCGTGGAGGTGGCGGGGGCTCTGGGGCGCAGCCGCCCAAGCTCTCGCCCGAGGCCCGCGACCGCTTCATGGCCCTCAGCGACGACGACTTCGAGCTGCTGTCCGTCACGCTGGCCGCCAGCGACAAGCACAGCCTGCGACAGTCGCGCTTCTTGCTGCAGCAGCAGCTGGGCGCGCTGTCCGATGTCAAGTCCGTCAAGTCTGCGCAGGTCGCAGCCGACGAGGCCTGCAAGCGGCTCCAGCAGGCCAAGGCGGACTACAACAAGAAGCAGAAGATGGTTACGGAGGCGCTGCAGGCAGCGTTCCAGCAGAAGGAGAAGGTCGCGCAGCTGCAGCTCGAGCTGGACGAGGCCGTCTCCAAGGCGAAGGCCGCGCTCGCCAACGGCGCCGAGCCCAAGCCAGCTGCTGGAGGAGCAGATCTCAGCGGCATCCTCGGCAACGTGGAGAAGCTCAGGACGCTCGTGGGAACCTCTTCGGAGAGCCAGGGCGTCCAACTTCCAGAGTCCTTGCTGGGACCTCTCCAAGCGCTGCTGGCAGGTGTGTCCGCGCTTGCCGCGCCACCTGAACCAGTCGCTGCTGGAGGATGCGATGGAGGAGCTGCACCTGCAGGCCGCGCTGCCGACGCCGCTGGGGCAGCCGACGATGCCGCTGAGAAGCCCGTGGGCAAGTCCGAGGACATGGACCTGGAGAGCGACCCCCTGGCCTTCGCGACGGGCGACACCTTCAAGGCCGCGGCGGAGGACTTCATCGGCACGGACGCGGAGAAGCGGAAGTTCCTCGAGGAGTTGCAGACCCACCTGCAGCAACAGCACGTCGCCGCGATGGAGTCCAAGCGGCGGAAGCTTTAGCCGCAGCAGCTCCTGGCGTGTCGTCACGTTGAATATGAATGCGTATTCGAACATCGACAAGTGCCTGGTCGAGGAGCTGACGAGCTGCGACGCAATTTTGTTCCAAGAGACGCGGCTGGGAGAGGCGCGCACGGCGGACGCTGAAGGGGAGCTTCGCCGTCGTGGGCTTCGAGCATGTGGTGCTGCCGCGGTGCAATCGCTGGCCGGAGGGCTGGCAACTGGGGGGCTGCTCACTTGTGTGCGCAGTGAGCATGGCCTTGCCGCCATGCTGGGGTCGCGGCCTTCTGTGCTTCAAGAAGGGCGCGTGCAAGTACTCCATCACTCGGGGCTGCTGCGAGGCGGCATTGTGATGGCCAACATCTACCTGCAGTCAGGCGTCGGCGTCAACGCGTTCAACGCCCAGATGCTGCGCGACCTGGCCTGCAGGCTGCGCGAGTACGGTCGCCCATACGTGGTCGGGGGCGACTTCAACTGTACCAAGCAGGAGCTGGCCAAGTCAGGCGTGCTGCGGCTCTTCGACGCGGTCGTCGTCGACACGCTGGAGCCCACCTGTGCGCAGTCGAAGCGGACGATCGACATGTTCATCGTCTCGCGTGGGCTCAAGGTGACCAGCATCAGCGTGGTCAGCGGGTCGCCCGTCTACCCGCACAAGCCAGTCATCCTGGAGCTGGAGGCGTGTCGCCAACGGCCGTGGGTTCGGGTCGTGCCAGTGCCCAAGCCCTTCCCTGTCCAGCGGCCTGCTGGATGTGCTCGCGTCGCACACGGCGACCGCTGGGCCGAGATCGGTCACGAGCTGCAGAGCGTGCTGGCAGGCGCGCAGGAGTCGGAGTGCCTGGACGTTTCCCGTGGGACCTCACCGCCGCCCGTTGCGGGGCCCGTGAGTGAGGGAAGATCGTGCCACTTGGAGGAGTGTGTGCGGGATCAGGTCAAGGGTAGCACCGACGTCAAGGGTAACCTCACCGCCGCATGGCAGAGGTTCCTCGACGCAGCCGAGGACGAGTGGATCGACATCTACCAGGTCGAGGAGGACAGTTTCAAGCACAAGGGGCGAGCTCGCCCCGTGGAGCCACGTTGGCTTCGGCGGCTGCCCGTGAGTGGCGCCCGCTGGCCGCGGGTCTCGGCTGAGGCGACATGGATGCACCGTGCTGCCAGCCTGCTGCGGGACATCGCCGACGTGGAGCAGCCCAACGCGCGTCTCGACGCTCTTCGAGGTGCGCGGAGGCTGCTAGACAGAGCCCCAGCCACAGTGAAGGCGGCACCTGATGCTGGCGAGGTTCTGTCCTGCCCTCAGGTGTTGCCCCAAGCTGTTGCATGGTGGTCGCTGCTTAGCAACTTGCGCTTGGCGGCGCTGACCCCCGCTGAGCTGCTGCAGCTGCACGCTGGGGCGCAAGCGGTGGCGCTCGACATGGCTGAGAAGGACATGGCCCAGCGCACCGTCCAGTTCCAGCACTGGGTCGAGAAGCAGGCCGAAGGCGGTGGAGGTGGTCTACATGCGGTGTCCCGCCTGCCCGTCGGGTTCGACTCCAGCCCGTACGGCGACGCCGTGGGCGACCAGGACGCCGACGACCACCAGCAGCTGTTCGAGCCCATGGACCTGGGGCAGCAGGTCACGGCGCTGGAGGTCGAGTGGAGCCGCTGGTGGAGGACTACCTGTGAGCAAGTGCGGCTGCAGTGGCCAGCCGACCTCGGCGAGAGGCCGCCCAGGCCCACGGTCCCCGAGCTCCGCAAGGTGCTGCGCTCGTTCAAGGGCAGCACGGGCATGTCCTTCTGCTCCGTTCGGCCGCGGCAGCTAGACGAGCTGTGCGACGAAGCGCTGGAGGTGCTGATCGACATCCTGTTGGCCGTCGAGCGCGAAGCAGCCTGGCCGCTCATGACAACCAAGATCGGCTTCATCCAGAAGCGGCTCGGCGGCGTCAGGCCCATCGCCGTCATCATGGTGCTGGCGAGGGTGCAGGCGCGGCTGCGCCGAGGCGTCGCGCGCAAGTGGGAGCAGGACAACGACCGCCCCTACTGGTGGGCAGCTGCTGGCCGCAGCTGCGAGCGTGCGGTGTGGCACCAGGCCGCGATCGGCGAGTGGGCCACGCAGCGCGGTGCCGACTGCGGGGACGCCGAGTCGTGGGTGGCCGTGGCGGTGCTGCTCGACCTGCTCAAGGCGTTCGAGCAGGTGCGCCACCACTGGCTGCTGGACGCCGCCGTCGCCACGGGGTTTCCCCTCTGGCAGCTCAAGCTGACGCTGGAGCTCTACTGCGCGCCTCGGGTCCTCTGCATGGGCAACGCGGCCTCGAGCGTGATCGAGGCCAGGCAGTCGATCCTCCCAGGTGATGGCTTTGCGACGGCGCTGCTGAAGCTTATTCTGATCGGGCCGCTGGATCGCCTGGTATTACATCACCCGACAGTTTCTCTGGCCGTCGTCGTAGACGACCTCATGCTGCACCGAGTTGGCGGGCTCGTGCGTGTGACTAAGGAGGTGGCAGAAGCAGCGTTCGAGCTCAAGATGCTGCTGCTGGACGTTGACCTCAACGTGGCGGTCAAGAAGTCGAGGGCGCTCTCCAACCTCCCAGCAGGCCGGCACGCCCTGGCCGCTCGGCTACGCCGTCCCCTCGGCGTGCTCTCCGTCAAGGGCGAGCGCAACCTGGGCATCGACTTCGCCTGCGGCAGGCGCATCGTGCGCAAGGTGCGGCAGGAGAAGCTGGTTCAAGCAGGGCTACGCCAGCGTCGCGTGGCCATCCTGAAGACTGGGGCTGGGCGCAAGAAGGCCGTGCGCAAGGTGGCCCGTGCTGGGATCGAGCCCAGCGTGACCTACGGCGTCGCGGTCACGGGCTGCGCCACCATGGAGCTGGACACGCTGCGCACGGCGACCTTCAAGGCAGTGGCCCCCAGCGTTGACGGTCGCTCGCGCACGCTGACGCTTATGCTGACGCCCATGCTGGACCCGATGATCAGGGCCACGCTGCTCCCAGTGCTGATGATGCTGCGCGCGGCGTGGGAGTGCTGGATCCCGCAGCATATCATCGCCTACGGCCTCACTTGCTGCCAGGCGGCGAGCTGGTGCCAGGTCAAGGGCCCCTTCAGCGCGGTGAGGCTCACGCTCGAGAGAGTTGGCTGGCAGGTGCTGAGCCCTACTTTGTGGCGCACGCATGAGGGCTACGACATTCATGTCTTCGAGCTGGGGCCGTGGTCGGTCAAGCGCATTCTCCTGCGAGCAGTTCAAGCATGGC